CGGTGCGAACGTTTATGTTGAAAGTTCGTACTTGCCAGAAACAGTTCGTGATCAGCACACAGCTGAAGGAGTCGATCTCCGTTGTCTGTGCGTCGAGCATCGACTCCGAATCGACCACCCAAATGTGATTCCAAGGAGCTCAGACGACCTACTTGAGCATTCAAATCGCCTGCAAGGATCACAATGTCAGTGCTTTTTGCCTGACGAGTGAGCCTGGATAGCTCTCGTTAGAAAGTATCGTTCTCCGCATCAGAACTGCAGTCCGTCGGGGCATAAGCCGACACGACAAACAGGCACCGCTTTTTATGCCGCGAGGCATTGAGCTTGATTGAACTGGATAACCGGACGGCGCAGAGACGACTGTTCACTGGGATCCAATCCAGCAAAGCGCGTTCAGCTCTGTGGCTGAGTGCGACTCCCACGCCATATATTCCACGATTCATCGCTCCTGGGTCGCCGGACACACGGAGGGAGAAATATGAAAGCGCTGAGTTCATCCTTGGCGTTTTGAGATGCATAACCACGCTCTGGTCTTGTATGCGTGTTTCGGAGACACAGCATACATCGATTTTAAGGGAGTACAAGGTTTCAGCAAGCATTGTCTGTTTGCCAATTTGACATAGAATACGGACGTTAAAAGCTCCTATATAGAAAGGATCTCGTGGATTTAGAAAGGTGTTATTTTGTTTATCTTTTGTAGGTATCGAGGAGCATAAGGACCTTCAGTCAGATAACTGACAGTCAAATGGCCCAGCGACGTTTGCTTGTGTAGTGGGAAGGGGTTGGGGAGGGACATCGGTGGAGGCTGAACTGCACGGGCAAATGATACTTCCCGGTTGCCCAGGCCGAGGAAGGGGGTTTGGTTGAGGTACCCCACCTTTAGCCTTCGACTCAAAAGTCTGACCCACAAGGCAGTGGGATGACGTAGGGGGGACCCTGACCCTAGCGTCTGCCTCAAAAGCCTGACCCACGAGGCAGTGGGAGTGTGTGGGGTTTTGTTCGGGGACCCTGCCCCTAGCCTCTGACTCAAAAGTCTGACCCACGAGGCAGTGGAAGAATTTAGGGTTTTCTTTGGGGACCTTTCCCGGAGCCGACGACTCAACAGTCTGACCTGCTCGGGTGCAGGGGGTTGGCCTAACCCGAGGGTGCAGAGAATAAGGCATTACTGTCCCATTTCTGATGCGGCTGCGCACAGCAGGTGCCTTTTGAGCAGCCTTTTAAAAGTATTTCGACCGTATTGGATAGTGCACCGGCGGTCATGGTCAACCGTTGGGCGATCGGAGTGTGCGGTTTTTGGGGTCGACCTTTTCTAACCCGTCCTTCCTCAGGGGAAGGCAGCATCGCTGCTTCCATAAATATGGACCTGCTGGTCGCCTGGAGGAAACACCTTACTGCCCTCACACTCCTGTCGCAGAGGACAGTACGACTTTACTCCCATACCGCTTCGTAGCACGATTACTCGTAGTACGGGGTCTCACTGCTCTTGGTCTGGCTGCTCCCCTTTGGCCTTCCTGGCATGGTTGCACCTTGTGGAACGAAGTTCCAGCCAGTGTAGCCCGCGGGATCATTGCAGCACCGAAGCCCGACCACCACGTCAAGGTGGCAGCTTTAGGTCGGGGGTTTGTATCTTTGGTATAGTTAGGACCTGAATTCTGAATTTCAAATATGCGAGTCGAACGTGTTACCATTGGGCGGACGTTCCGTGTCGATCTATGGTTGTGCATACTTGTCTTTTTTTTAATCATGTTTGGGCACTCTTCACAAAAAGAAATAAGTCATTTCCGACGGAGTGCCTTGGTTTACTGCTCCTCCACCGTTTACAGTTGCTCCATTTCGTTGTAGATATTCCTATTAGAAAAGAAGTCGGAAAATTTAACACCCTTGCAATTTGACGCCTATTACTAACCAATTTACCCTAACTTAGTAGCCAAGAATGTGTCTAGGGAAGATCACTATTGCCCAACCAAGAAAGTCTGTAGGTGTACAAATCTGCAATTAACTTATAACGTCTGAGCACTGAGAGACTTTTTCCGTAGTCCACATTCAGACAGGGTGGAGATCAGTGTATCTTCCTTTTTTAACCTAACGTAGGTCTTGAAATTTCCAAGCGTTCTGTTTGATCCAGTACACTGCGCACCCACAGGCAGTATTTGTTTTCTACTCAAGCAGCTGGATCACGTGCACCCAATCATTTAGGAATGCGGACGTCGCATATTACACCTCAATGGTATTTCTGAAAATATTTACTATCTCGGCGTCAGCAACCTAAATTGTCCCTTAGAAAATTGTCTGCATTTGAGCACAAATTACCACATTGGGAGAAGTCTCTACGCAACAAATGCTCTGGTACGAGACATTTGTGACCAACTTCCAGGAATTGACTAATTTGCCGCTGTTTCAGGTTTAGTAAAGGTGTTGTGGGAACATATGAGGAGTGACAAAAATCCCTATATGTTACCCTATATATTACCGAGATGAACGAAATGGGCGTTTATTCAACTTTCTGTGGCCATCCTTTATTACGCAGTTGAAGCAAATATAAGTGACCCAAGTCGACGTGGTGGTACTTCATTTCTTTGAGCTGGTCACTTCGTTTGCAAACATTTCATCTGGCTTTCGAGGCAACGTTGTGAGCGCTCAGCAGAGCGACAACCAATTATGAAGAGTAAATCGGAATTACAATAATGAGGATAAACATACATGATCAAGTATACTCGGTATAGCGATCTGTATGAAACTTATGGGCTATGGGAATCTGTGGTATCAGCTATCAAAGCACAAATAGTGGACCTACGTAGAGCTAATCCATTTTTTTTAGAATTACGCATTATAATTCATGAAAAAGCTACCACCATGCAACTAGAGGGAGAAGAATCGATATATTTAATAATAACTTGGATGTTCTCTCCATAGCCTGTCGACTGTTTCCCTCAAACGAAGCTTAGAAAATACGAGTCTATCTTTGATTCATATCTTTTGATCTGAGCCTCAACCCTTTTCCACGATAAGCCGGTTGCCCAGATTGTTTTGGTAGTCCATGTAGAGCCGTTTGTTAGCGTGTCACTGTAACCAACACTAGGTCTATGAACAAACGCAGCTCAGTACCCGCGGACGAAAATTTTTCTGCTGAAATCTGTGACGTTTCCGAGGTTGCGCGTTTTTTTTCAGTGCAAAGAACTATAGTGAGTGCATCTACCCGCGATTCCCCAATGTGCGGATGTTTTATTGGGCAGATAACGTTTCGTAGTCATCAAATAATTATAACTACTAAGTCATGAATAATGAAATGAAATATGGGAAGCATGGAATAGAGCCACGATATGCTGTGTATTAATTTTGTACCCAGAATGTGTTCACGCTTTTCGTGGCCTACCGTAAACTCGTCTTCCTGGAATTTGCCGAACACCCGTTTCTGCATCGGACTTTGCTTCGTACATAAAGGTACTCGGGAATCGCTTTTGAGAGTGAACAGAGAGTAATGACACCCACGGACGCCTAGGTGTCTTTCGAATGACGATATGTTTGTCATAAATTGCGACTCAATGGGCCCTGACTAATACTTTGTTGCACATATTGGAATAAACTGTATATAACCTATGGCTTGACTTGTCCCTGCAAACATCTTTATATCGTAGTGAATGCAGAATATCACTGCGAACATCTCCGTTTACAAATAGCGTTGAATATTGGGCTCTGTCCAACCAACACCATGAAGCGGTAATACAAACTTTGTTGCCACAGCTCTCTAAGTGATTGCCAACTATAGTCTGCTGCCTGCCTTACTGAACTGAACAGCGGACAAATCTTCGGATAGTAGTATTGTTGCAGCCTTGCCTTCAGTATGATAGCTTGGATAGTTAACATATTTATGGACCGTTTCACAGGTCTCTTTTCTTCTCCGAACAAACTTTTTTGTGTAGCCTGCAAACTAGAGCACATTCCACATCCTGTTTTTCCTCTGGACAGGTTTGGAAAGCACCTCAGTTATGCCGGCGTATAAAATCTTAAGCAGTGAAGATTGTGTAGAGTTCCAGCAAGATGAATTTAGTTCAGGTGTAGGAAAAACAGGCAGCGCATTACCTAAGATGCCCAGTTAGCTCATTGAACACAGCTTGCATCCCCATCCATACATGTAAGAGAAGTCAATCGTGAGGCTACCAACAACTGAAAAACCACTTCCATGAATACATACATTATGGGCGGCGGAATGTTCTTATAGGATGATGTGTCATTGTAAAAGTAGAGGAAAAATTCATAATCGATTTCATAGCCGTGATAACACAAGTGTAAAATTGTATCGAATTTCTGCGTAACCGGATTAATTCTGATGTCTAAGTCTGCAACATTGTTGCACAGTTCTTGGAAAGGAGAAGCGTCTGCTGTTATTGGTCTGAGAGCTTAATGTTAGCTTTTCTATTACGGTTGAAGCCAGTGGATCGGCGTTCCAAGCAGTTTAAACTGCAGCGTCTTTGCAGCTCACAAATTCGACTGTCACACCAACTTATTGTCATAAATCAGGTTAGCAGACTCAGCAAAGTGGGAAAGCGTTCTTTGTTCCCTCAACCACCCTAGAGAGTTTGTCCGTCGCGAACGTTCAGTATCAGCACAACTGGATGCGTCTTGACCATTCGGTTGCCTCATGACGCTTGCGGCTTTTGAATTTACAACAATATCCTTTGTTTACTACTTGGTACTGGCTTATAAATAACCGGAAAATCACGGTTGGTGAACAGGGTAACCACCCAAGGAAAACCCTATGACTAAAGTTTCTCACTGCATAGAAAGGAATCATCCTTGCATATCGAGAACAAGTGGCTACCTTGCCTGATAAAAAGAAGTGCATTAACCAGCGCGGTTGTCAGCCGACTGAGGGCTCTTGAGAGTTTACACCAGGAATAAAAGGTCGATTGATTTAGATCTAACTCACCTTATTTACTTCGTACTCCGGTGATAATGCAACATGCAGAGTCATGGCTTTCGATGCCTCAAAACGAGGGTGATTGAGTGCATATTTGTTTCGGAGACCACGTTGAAAACGTGATCGTCACCCTTCACACTTCTCTCTGGTCATGATACGTAAAGCATTCTTGCACACGTCGATCGACCTACGGTGATGCCTTCTACATGGCAGGCTCAATGGTCTCAGAATGGTAGACCCATTTGTACAAGCCACCATCGGCATTGCTCTGGGGTGTTTTTGGTCACATTCGAAAAGCGAACAATCCAGGGTCGTATGTGGTCGCTCATGTAAACGTCGTATACAACCACTGAGCAGCAAGTTGGGGCACAATTCGCGGATCACTGCAACAAAGTATATCCGAGTCTGGACAGAATCGCAATGCTAATCAGTTTATAGGAAAACCTGTGCAGTATTATCCGAGGGGACCATACGGCGGGATTCGTAACGGCTGTTAGCGTAAAGCGTTCTCAGATATAATATATAGATGTTATGTGAAACGTACGTGTGTAGAAGTAGCACACGTAAAAACCCATCAATGATGCCATTTTTCCCATAACGAATTTCCTGATATCATCATCATCATCTCATTCAACAAGCTGACCATTTAGCGTGCAGAACCAGACTGTTCGACGTCTATGTAAGTGAACATAACCAGAAGCCCGGTACCCATGCTATCCGTGGCAAGATGGGTGTATATCTTGTGCGAACATGACGTAAAAATGTTATTAGGACCAAGGACAAGGTTCACCTGCGTTGCGTCAACTTCCCCGAATTCTAGGAAAATTCTAATTAGTGTGATCTACTGTGTTGTACAGAGGCACCCGTGAATGTAATGAGACTCACCCGATCACAGCTCTAGCCGACGTTGTCATTATCGAAGCTTTGCTGGGAGCCGGACCGTATTACCTGATTAACCCATAATCCAGCTATTAATAGTTTACTCAACAAAATGGCGCCCACGGAGGCAGTTGTATATTACTTGAGAAGTAAAGAATCTTTAAGGCTCATTGTATTCTGCTTTCCGTACTGTAGCAACGCGTTGCCACTGCCCAACACGTCTTTTTTAGCCTTCGATTATGTGGTGAACGTTGAGGAAGATGATAAGAGGCGACCGAAGAACGATCTTTGTGCCCTTTTTTCAGACAGGACCAGATTGGGCACTGCCTATCATTAGGGCTTCCAACTTCCAAACTTCTTGGATTTCTGCTATTCTGCATCAATAGTATAGACGTTCACATACAAAATATCACTGCTGCTTTTCTTACCCACCGCAATCAGAATCACAAAATAGTTATCTTCTGTGTTATCAGTTGAGGGATCGGTCAACAAAACGTCCTTCAGAGTTTGAGTCAAGAACTTCCCGAATCGTGACAGCGGAGAAGCGAAACTAGGATTGAAGTACGCCATGAAAAATAATGAGTCATCGTGTTTCAGTTTCCATGAACCCTTCTAGTTTGTGCATATGTGCATGTAAATGCCAAGTTGTTACATAGAATGGCCTCTTCGGCGATCAGCCGTTTTAGGGAAAAGAGTTTATATCGGATAAGTAGCATCCAAATGAACTCGACGACAGAACGGCTGTCGTGTACACATGGTTCTGTCGGTTGACCCATGGCAAAGTTTAATCATTGGAGAATCAAAACAAAGCCAATGTGTTCATTGTGGGAACGACAAAACAACTATGGATACACAGAAATTTCGTGTTCTCTACCCCCGCCCCCCTCAGCCCCAAAGCCCACAGGCTGAACTGTAATGCTGACAAATGAGTCAGACTTTCACTTCTGCCAAAAACGATTAAACAGCCCACAACACCGAAGACAAACATAGGATAACACAGCCTCAGTTTACGTTAACTTCAGTCTGAGAGAAGAGGCGGCCAGACCTGCTTGAATCCTGTGGCACTCCCGTCAGTTGTTTTTGGTTGTCTGTTTTAACGTGTAACAGTACAGTAATGAGGTTTTCGTAGTGTTTGGTGACATTGGGCCGGTTATCCTTGATTGAGAACCAAAACGAAGCAACGTGTTGTTGCAACCTTTCAGCGTTCCGGAAGGACCAGGTTTTTCTCAGGATGCCGTAGTTGTACATCTAATGCGGCTCATTATGACTTAGGGTTGCCCACCGTTTGTGGTTTCCCTTTTTACGCTACAATTTCTACCACCAGTTTGGCCGTGTTGATACGACCAATACATACACACGTTGTGCACGACATTTGGAAGGAGTATCCTTATTGAAGCCTAGACTACCAGTGGGCGTACACGATTTGCGCCATTTTTAGTTGATAACTAGGTGCTGTTGATACTCGGGGGACACTGTTATTGGGAAAGACAGACATGGCAATCCTACTGTCGGAAGATATGATCCAACAACTGGGAGCAGAGTTGCCGGGTAATGGTCACTGAGTGATGGTGTCACAAAATTTATTTGCTCCTCATTTCTGGGACAGTTGGTCCACCAACTGAGGTATTATTTTTTGATATTTCACTACACCGGTGGGTCCAAGTCGTTGTTCACTTTCTGCCCTATCTCCGGTACAAGCTAATGGCTTGTATTTCGCATTTAGCTCACTAGGCGATTCATGCTATAATTTTGCACATTGTTTTATGTTGCTTGTTAGATTAGATGATGATGTCGCGTTCATCTTGAGTTTCGGTGCTAATCGTGCGAGCTAGATTCAGCTAAATGACTGTCATGACCTCTAATTAGTACACCGTTATGTGTGAAAGTGAATCATGGAGCCTCCCGATCACGTATCCAATGACGTCTTTACAGAACAGCCGACTTTTCATTGGTTGGTTGTCATCGGGTGATGACCAGTGTGAAACGCTTCACATCTCCCTCTTTTTTAGGATTTCTGGGATCCCCACTACAAATGATGGTAACGTTTGCCGTGCTGGTGACCACGCACGTCAGTTTATTGACTAAATACTTCATTTTAATGGCGAACGTGACCAGATCGATCGAATACGTTTAATGTACTCAGGCGCCATCATCATCACCAGTGGCAGTACAAAGTCAGTTTTCAACACCGATGCTTCGCTGCATCGGATTATTTGAAAACCCTATTGTGAATAAAAGAATGGAAGTGGATGGTGAAAGGACGAGATGCTAACCCAATCCACTGACTCCAAGGAGCACACACATCCGATTTAGAGTGTTATTACAACCCACTGTTTGGGTTGGGAGGGTGCCTACCTTATAAGGGACGCATCAGCCTTTCTCGGGAATACCAGAAATACATTTAACAGGGACACTATGGATAAAATTTTTGCTATTTTCGGATACCAGTTTGGAACAACTGGTTGAGGATTGCAAATACTGGTCCACATGCAGCCATTAACTAAAAACTGCAGCGATAAAACTTCCTTGGAAATCCGTGGTACTGTTGGTACGACACGGAGTTGTAAAAATCACTGCCTCATGTGCCTGTGACCTCATTGATCGCTAAAAGTCCCCACAATTATGGACCGATATTGTCCGAATTCTGGTGAACGTGTTCCTTTGCTACCCAAGGATCTCTTCCCTCGCCGCAACCAATCCCTCAGCCACAAACCTCGCTCGACAACCGAGATCTTGCTTTTATTTCCTCGATTCGTGTCACTTATAGGTCAATTAATCAGGGCAAACTTACTTAAACTTTTTAACACTACCTAAATGGAACTGTCTGATTTGAAACTGCGGGTGATCCAATGCTCAAGCCATCTTTTTTCCCGTGGATTTCATAAGTGAAAAGTTTGTATTGTTGTTTTGTGTCTGTACTCTAAGTGTGATTCATCCTGCAACAATTCGCACAGAGTTGTACAACATTCATCCGCTTAGATTCGTTTGTCGGTAGATCGAAGTTAGTGCGCATTTTTTCTGTACTTCTTCCTGATTTCCTTCCTGGTTTGGTTGTTCACAAGGGGCTAGATGGCTCAGTGCTTAGAGGGCGAATTTACTGACCGGAAGGTCCGTGGTTCGAACCTGATTTCTGCTTCTCGACTTCTCCTGTCTAGGCTTTGGCAACCTGGCAGTATCCCTCGCCCTCGTGCTATCTTTGGGTGGCATGGTAGCTAGGCATCGGAAAGGTGTTACAGCTGAACGATTTATTTGGTCGTTCACAAACCAGTGGATAACTTACTGACTTTTTTGTCATTTTTTGTGGCGGTCACTCTTCACTGAGTCACTGTGAGCATTTGGTTAGTTTAGCACACTGATCGTCGGCATGTCAACCTTTGTTTCATCAGTCAACTAATAACTCTATGTCTAATGCTTGACATCAGCCACCCTAAATAGGGGTTTCTCAGCAAATACACGGTACCATCCTACGCCCATTTGTAAGTACCTTGGAAGATACTAACTAATGGTGGCATTAGACAGGAAGTGCTCCTTTAAACAATACTCTAACGGATCATTTTGCAATCTAACCACACATGTGCGATTTGGGCCAGCACCGGTAGCATCTTACGTTGCTTACTTCCGGTAACCAAAATGCTGCACCTCCCATCTATCTTCCGTCCTTTCATCTTAGCCTTCACTTTTGCCCAGTCTATTTAATAAAACTTGTAGATCCCATCAATTATTTTGTTGTCTTTATTATCATCCAGGATGTTTTTAGTGGCACAAATTGACCCTCGGGCATATGATCGCCAGTGAATTTGTAAAGCCAAACCAAATAATGCAGACAGTACTTTTTCGGCAATTACACCAAATTTTTATTGCAGGAAAATCAATAAACACTGACTGATTCGCCGTTTGCCGTTGTTTTATGCCTACCCCAAGAGGCCCATGTTCTTCACTTACTGCTCTCCAACATGTGTACACCGTGTCCCGGAAATCATTTTTGGTGGACGTACAACGTATTTTCCTAATTTTCTGACAATAGTTTACAAAGAAGTTGACCTATTCATTCGACGTTTCGTTTGTTTCTTCCAGTGCTTGTAAAAACGCATAAATACCGTCATTGGTTATAGGTTGGAACGACACATCATTTGTTGAACGGAATAATGCAAAATGTCCCCGTGATTAATATGAGATCTTTTGTGGTCGAGACTAAACACGCGCAGGTTGTAAGTAGCTGACGGCTGTTTTAACGAAAAAACGTGTGGGTTACGCAATCAACCAGCTTAAACCAATGTATACACTGGGCTGTCGCAACGTGACGTCAAGCTGTCTGGCTTTTTATGCCAGATGATGTGCTGAAAAACGTGGCAGGTTCACGTGGGTAGCACACCACGCTTTGTTGCATTTCCACCACACCCCAGAGTCTGTGATCCTGGAAACTTTGAGTGAAGACTCCTTATATGCAGTTATCACGATCTTCACTGGGTTTGAGCTGAATCTGTCGGACAACTTCCACCAAAACTAAACCAGCTTTGCAACAATCAGTGCGTTTCTACGTCACTCAAGTCAGCCCTACCTCAGTTACTACCACACACCATCAAATTACTCCGGGTGCTTCGTTTGCCTATCATCTGTTTCAGCGTCACAGCGAAAGCTATAAATCTAAAGCTGCGATCGGTGTTTTCGGGGCGGTAATCCAGACAGGTCATGGAATTTATTGGGTTACCAAACGAATGGTGCGCCCCACAATGTTTTTATGTCACTGAAACGCCATACTAACGGTTTGAAGTTAAACTAAGAAATGACAGCATGTCTTTATTACTGCTGAAAGTACTGAGTGCACGCTGTTTGATGCGTCTAATTTTTAATGGGTCGATCTTTAATTTCTCGGCCATCGTTTGATCACGCGCATCTTCCTGTGAAGCACGCGCTAAGCTATTATCACAGGAAGTAACTGATACTTTCCAAAGCACCTTTCAAGGGACTCTCTAAATTATTCATGTAGCATCTGATTAACCATCTGAAAAGCTAAAAATTTTTGCAAAGGTTCGTGATTCTGTTCGCGATGACCAAGCGTTCATGTCACTTAAAGAAACCGAAGGTATTTCAATCGGTAAATCTAGCCGCAGCTTTGCCTTTATGCAGTGTGATCAGCCAAAGTGCATGTGCTTATCACGCTCCCGTAATTCGTTATACAGAATTAGGATCAAAATAATGGAATTTATGAAGGCTACACTGTACTGGAAAATTCGTCAAGTCCAACAGCTGTATACTCTACCAAACTATCGTCATACATTATTGCACAAAAATCCTGTGGCCAGCCGGATTTTCACAACCACTTTGGGTGTTGCTTCCGCAATGTTGTCCGGTCTCCTGTATTACAGTGTTATTAGTTTATGGGTTCGTATTTTCCATTGTACACTTCTAACGTCACCTGAATTTCGAACACTGATCCTGTGCTGTGATTCAAGCTCAATGTCTCCCATCAAAAAGGAAGAGAACTAAGAGAAGACCTTCTGCAGATAGGACCCCACCCATTTGCAGCACTGTCAAATACATTAGTTTCAAGCTGGTCAAAAGCAATTGTGAATCAATGACGGGCGACCTGACAGTTATCGGGGGAAGGCCCGAAGTGACTTTAAGAGCGAATGAAAAATAGCCGCGGAAATGCCACAATAAAATTTTCAGAATTCTATTGTCGTTCAAAAGATTTTAAACTTTTGAGAAATGCTGGCATCTCCATGGTGGTAGAGTTCCTTATGCTATGAAAATTTGTCATGCTATTCAGGCAACTATGCGTCTCCCTTTCATGCTCCGAGTGACTGATCTGCCTAGGACCTTTCGTAATGCTCATCTTCACCTTAAATTCCAGACACAATACAGAGAAAGTCATCTACTTCCTACTGCTGGACCGAAAGTTACGAAATCCAAGCGCAGACGATCCGGAGGAAATCCGTTCAAGGAGTAGTACACGTAAGTTTATTTCATAGACCCCCTTGTTTCATCCGTCCAATCCAGCTTTAAGACATCAGAGAGTTTTTGCGACTAGATACAAACAAGTGCTTTTTAGAGGCTTAATTCGGTCCAGGTGGTCATCACACAAATATTAACCATGCATGAAGCAGTAGAATATGTGGCTTTTTAAGCACGTCATGATTCCATAGTCTACAATGTGGCCGCTAGTCTGCTAAACGCCTGTTCTGCATGCGTTTAGACTAGAGGTCGTTCTGAGTCTATGGCATGTCTCCAGACGCCCCGTAAGTGTTTCGATTCTGCACCAGGTTGCGGCATGCAACTTATTGACCTTCGACCTTGTTGCATGCTTGCTAGTATGGCCTCATGGATGCAGGTACCTACATGGCTTTTCACTTTGAGAAGGCCATCGTCGAAAGCGGTGGTTAGGCATATGTAAGAAGTACCGTGATCTGCTTTAATGACTAACCTCAGCAGCTCAGGATATTTGCACTTAAGGACTTGACTTTCTACGGGGTTCATCGGTACCTCATTCTAATCCTATCATCAACATGGACAGCAATACGACTTATGATGAAGACGACTCACAGTCGTGTAACGATAGAAGAAATTCCATCCTAAAGCTTTTTTTAGCATGGCTAGAAATCAACTACTAATCTCATTACATTTCAACTCATGGGTAACAGAAACGAGCCTCCACATCCCCTCCGATAGGAACTGTTCAAAGTTTCGCAAAAGTGGATACCTTTACGGTCTTGTCACCATGTGTCAACCTGTACAAAATGCTGCATCGTTACTCCCTTAAATGGACAAAAACCCTTTTCGTTTGAAACTGACACCTGATAGGAGGAAGGTGAAGCATCATTCCGTGACGGCATACATTCAACTTGAAGCAAGCACCATGCTTGTCTTGAGGGACACTGCAGCGTGGTTTCATTGTATGAAAATCGTTATTAACTAATATTTTTTCCTCTAAACCAATAGACATTTTCGCACTTAACAGATGAATCTCTGCAAAGTGATTGACTATTTTGGACGGCATTGGTTTCTCGTTACAACGATATCCATGTAAGATTGTTTAGCCGGGTATGACACTCCTCACTATGGGTCTGCTGTAATCCTCCCTCGGAAGAAGTCCACGAGTAGACTTTGGTCTGAGAAAAAATGTTATACAGTGGTTACGACACAAAAAAGTACCCCCGGTGGGTCATTCACTCCAAAGAACCGAAAATTTTGAGCGTGTCATCACTTTGAAAAGACGGAAAACACTAGTTGCATTTGCTGCCGGGATGAGACAACAGTTACTTGACGGAAAGACGATGGTTGCTGGTGCAAGCTTTAGCCCACCGTGTTTCAACTATTGGGTTCTTTAATTCGGTTACTTCTGCATATTCATACTTCCCCTTAGATGTTCCAGTCTTCTTTATTCGTATTCGGAACCCATCGCTTTTGAGTACTTTAACTGATAGGCGATTCACGTTTCTTCCCACTGGCCATTAATTTCACAAGAATTGTCCCCACACATTTCATGTGACCACTCAGAAATGCGGCACATATATGCTCGCCCAGGATTCCCATAAAAGTTTGCCCACAACGTAATTTCCTATCGCCTTATGAACCACTGAACACATTGCCACGCTTTTTCATCGTATGTACGTATCCGAAGAAAACCACGGTAGGGCTACACCCTTACGTTTCCGTCGTTTTTTATTCTCCACCTGCCTACATCCGCTTCCTCGGCCTTTGCGCGCCACGACCTGGCCCGTCGCCCTCCATCGCCCTCTCCTCTCCATCATCCTCCGACCGTATGCGTCATCGAAATTTATGTCTTCACCACTCTACATACACGTTTGTTGTGCATGACTTCTGTCCGATGTGTTCGAATGTTTGCATGGGTGTGCGTGATGTTTGTTGGGCTTGCTGACCACAAAAAATCGACCAACGGATTTCAGTCAATCTGAACTCTTCTAAAGGTAAGCAAGCTATATTCTCAGTGTTCAGATGGATTTGCTCATGTCGTCGCTATCACAGCATCATGCTCACTGTCATGCATGAACTTTGTCGGTTTTGTCAGTTGAATCCCCGAACAACCTGTAGTGGTGTATTCCATCCAGAACAGGGCCACTACTTCCGCTTTTGGCTTGTGTTCGATCTATATTTATAAGGTTTACAAATTCAGCATGTCCCAACTCCTCGTTGTGTTGCTTAGTGGAGAAGGCATTTGTGAGTCCTCACTAGTATCAACTGTTCGAACATGTAATAATCACGCGGAGTAGGACGCTATTTTACCACCTATATGGTGTTTTTTTACAATACCTGCGCTGTTCTCACTAGTTGGTTTGTGACCACATTGGCCCGATATCTTCCTCCGGATTCCTCTCTCTGCTGAGTGGTTCAGAGGCAAGGGTATGCAACGGGTGCAGTTCACTTTGAGCCCTGTGTGGAGGCCTCTCAACATTCCTAGTTTTGTTGTGTAGATCACGGAATAGACCGGTGGATAAACCAAAGGAAGACGTTACAAGTTTACTTATATCGACCAACATTTTCTGTGCCTGATATTGGAGATGTTGCGTAATACAGGGAGCTTGGGTGCACTGCTTGGTTTTTGGCCTGTTCGGTCATCTTAGCGAATACTACCTAAACGCCTTTGTAACAAGTTTAGGTCTGTTGCTTCTACGTGGCGGTGAAATCCTATTGGGTTGCGTGAATGCACTTGTTTAGTACTACAATATGCGGTCATGCACAAAATATATTGTTTCTCAAAACTTAGAATTTCGATTGGTGTGTAAGTGCTGTAAATTGAGTACTCTGCACCCAACCCGGCGAGAATGCTATTGCCGGTTCAAACCTGTCCCATCTTGTTCAGTTGGAACTCGGATTGCTTATTTGCATGATACCCCTTCTGTGTCATATTACTTTCTCGGCGCTGCAGATGCCAGTATTTGTCTACTTTCATGGGTACACACCGGTATCTTTGATCCGTCAGAGTTAAGTTGACATCCAAGGCCGATCGTGTTGGCGTGAAAGTGCCGGGCACTGTTCAGCGTGATTCGCAACCTCACATTTTCGCACGTTTTGCGAGTCTCTTCATGTTAAAGGTCACGTGCGCCTGCCTATGGGTACGGAACATACTAAGGTTTCTGCCTATTTTCCCTATTCTGCATCCGCATGGGATCGCACAATCACTATGCATACTGTTCTCACTGTTCCACAATACCACAGCACTTGTTCGTTCACGATTTTGTTCACTAGACCCTTGTCAAAGTTTCCGTTACCTGCGGTCTTGTGCAGCCCAACGTGTCTCGTTTGTTCAGACATGTCGTTTTTGACCGAATGCAACTTGATTTTAGGGAAAGCCAGTTCTTGATGTGCAGTCAATGGAAAAACTATCCTACCACTTTGGTGCTGTAGTAAGAACGATCTCAACTGTTACGACGTTCACGAGGTGTCTTGATTAATTATTGTAAACGTCTTGATAACCAATATACTGGACTAAACATAGTAGCGATCTATATTTGTCTTACGAAAAGAATCCTCACGTAAATTGCCGCCAGTTTTATTTAAATAGTTTAGTTCTTGTTCGCCGCTCAGACGACCGGCGAAACTTCAAATCGATCTTAAACACTCCCAAATACCCTTGAGCTGTGACTGTGTGGATGTAAACTGGCAAAAGTTTTTTTCAGCCATCAAAATACTGGATGAAGTTGGATCTTGTGATTGAAGAACATTTTCAGGAGGAGTTGGTGTATGGTACTGGTGCGAATGATAATGCCTCTGCTCATCCTTTTTCGGCCAGATGGTGGATGGCAATATACCCATGTCTAGTCTCTCGGGAATCTCACTGAATTCGGTTTATATCTTTAACATTCATGTGTATATTGCTCCAAATCTGACCACTCTTTAGGTGATTACGTTTTGCAGATTATGCGCGGCCGTCCAAACCACTTTCGACCTCCACCTTAACTAATGCAATCGCCTCTCACTAATCAAACCTGAATGAATGCATGTACTGTACAGACTAAATAGTAGGTGCATCATTTTGGTACTGCCTTGTTTGCCTTGGTCCTGTCGCCTGAAAATATGACTTATGCGGAAATTTCAAGTTCTACTGTGGTTTTTTTCTGACCAACCATTTTGAGGGTCAAGTTTTTCTCCACTTCCCATACACAACACTGGAATTTAAAATCGTCATTCCACCCTCGAGGAACTCGTACAAAATATTATGTTCATTTATATTGATATCGGGTAGTTGACGAGTTTCTGTCCTGGGTATAAAGCACCCGTATCTTCCTGCCAAACCTAATGCCATTGGTTTTCCCTTACATGGATTCTGCTTATTACCCAGTTTGAAAGTTCATGGGATTGACTTAAATATAGAATTTCATCTGTTGTTTTTTTGACGAGTGTTTAATTGTACAGAACCGATTCAATGAGGTATCGCTATAATGCGGAACACCTCTGGTCTACGACCTGATGGGTATTTGAAGGAATCGATGATGGTTTCGGGTTTCCTTATCATGGACTACTTTAAACCTCATTTGGCTCAGTCTGCCGTGAACCCAGCAGTTCCTCCACATAATTTAAGCTATACACTGAGTTTGGTGTATCTGTTTGTGTCATATATGTGCACCTGTTTTCAACAATCTCCCATTCTGCTGTACCTCGCTAGGTAACCGGACAACAAGAACAAACAAAAAGTCACTTAATTAACAAAAGGACGCTGACTATCATTTGGGAATGTACTGTTGTCACATGATGGGAGGGAATGTCTAATTTTGGTGACTGACCGGTTAACGAGCTAGACTGACCGGCAGAGTTCACCATTTCGTATACAGACTTGTCCTGGTCATTTCACTTGTCATCACTTTTCGTTTGTTAAAAACCACTTCGCTAAGGGATGTTGGTCAACTTACCGAAGACTGATAAAATAACCTTATGTTTTGGTTAGTATGGCTCGATAACTCTTTTCAACAAGTGGTTAATGTTTGCCTTGCATTTTGGATTCTGAATGATAGTTTTAGTATTCATCACGAATTTATTGTAACAGTGGTCTGCTAACAGTGTTTACCGACTAACCCTAAGTATGTATTGATTTCTCCCTTTTTTGTGCAGCTGACCCACCACGGAAACGCATAGACAGTCTCAAGTTAACGCTGAACGGATCCTCTCGCCTATCGCTTGGAAACTTAAGTGAAGGTTCACCTTTGTCCGGTAGACGGGGGTTGGCTGTGCAAAAGCTGTAAGTTGCTATAATCTATATTCTGCTGGCGACCTTTATGTCCCGCACTGCAAAATTTTTCCTAGTATGGGTTCTCGTGGATTCACATCGCCAATACCAGGTTTGGTATCCTTCAATGCATGTCTTCATTTTTTCTCGCTCCTGTGCAAGCGGGCATTTCTTCCAAGTGACTATCCGATGTTATCGAATCGAACCCCATCCCTCCATATACTCCCCTCGGACAACAAGTTTATGAAATCTCCACCTATTCGACTTATACGCTCATGTGTGTACTAGAATGGTTATGGCGGGAGACTTACGGTGAACTCAGCTGAAGCCCTCGTTTATGATGTTCTTAAGCAACTGAATGTGCTACAACAGGCCGCTTTATGTTGCTGTCTGTAAGACAACGTATATATGTGATTCACTACTCAAGATGAACCGAAGGGCATAACCGGTCGTGGGCTGTCGAAGAGTTTTCAGCAACTTCATGAGTAGCTTTTCACGTCTAAACAACTTTCTGCTTGCTTTCATTCTTCTCTTACTTCAAACCTAACCTGGCCAATTAATAGGCATCTTAAGTGATTATCTAGTGTCTTTTATGTACTAAATGTTCCTCTTTTACAGTAGGGCTTCTCACTTTAGGATTTTCTCTGTCCTGTTCTTTAAAGTTTCCGTGAAATATAAAGGTGGTGAACATGGTAATGAGAGTTCCCTGCAATAACTCATCCTTGTACAAACGGTGTATATATTCAGGCGGGTGCTTTAGGCTGGGCTCGATTTCATAAAGAAAACTACTCACAAGGCTACTGAAAACTCTTCAAAAGCCCACTACTGGTTTCGCCCATCTTGGGGCTCATCAGGTAGGCGCAGTTCCCGAGTTTCCGTCAACCGTGTATTCTACTTAATTGGTCGAACACTTTTCTCTTCGACCCTTATTGTTTGAAACACTCGCAAAACCCTACTACTTAATGGTCTTGCCAGGAATTATTCGCTATATTTCTCTCGTTCAGTTGAACAAAGCTCTCGGACAACTTGATTTTCACCTGGCATCTCATGTCGTCGCCCTTGCCTAGCTGACCGGTATCAGTCACATTGCGAACTTTGTCACATGTTTTTTACTTGATGGTCCAATCACGGCCTGAGAATTTTACATTTCTAGCGAATGAAGAACAAAAATCCGGAGGTAATCTCAAGTGCTTGTGCAGCACAACTTATCCAGTAACTCTGTTGCCACTATCATTACGGCAGCTCATCTAACCGGAAGATTGTTATGCTACATTGATTTCCATAGCAAATCATTCGGTTTTTGTTGCGGTTTCATGTTGAAAGAAAGACTGCTGTCGTGGGAAGACGACAAACAAAAGTCAGATTTCTTGAAGATGGTGGTGCATCTGTGCATTTCATGGTATTGTCCATGAAAATCGGACCGTGGGAAAGCCCTGCTAAATGGTTTTGGTGTCACTGACACTTGCGAATTTCTGGCGTAGATTCTCGTTCGTGTATGCAGATTCCGTCTGCTCTCCTGACAAATCTAATACTATCTGGTCACTCCATCCTTCTCCGACAGCATTTTAGATATAAATATCCACCTTATGTCCGAAAGCTGTCAACAGTTTGGTCGTTTAAGCGCACTAATTCGTTGAAGACAACTGTTGCGTGATGCGGAGACGCAGCAGGTAGGCTGTGCAGTTATTTTTTAGTTTCTGCAACACCCACTGAGAGGAGACTGTGTGCTGTGCATATGCGTCGCGCAATTCCACCATAGCTTTTGTGTGACCTGCCTATCTAACTTGTCAACCACCAACAACTTGCGTTTGCAGCCCACTGGGTTCGAGAAAGTGAAATGTCACTATCGCGCCATATCTGTCAATCTGAACAGCTTTTGAGTGACACTTCGTTGTTGTTGCTATTGCAGCCATTGGTATAGGTTCGGGTTGTCCCATTAATGCCTTGCACCCGGGGCACTCGGGCGAACCGAGCTAGATAATCTATTGACCGTCACCACACTGGACTTAATTGCGGCGTCCACAAACGTTTACGCATACGCTTGATGTATGCACACGGGCTGGTAGGACATTGAATGTGCGCTTGTGTAAACGTGTGTACATGCGTGCCGCGTGTGGTATTATGTAGAGCACAATCTATCCAATCTACCACCTTCGTTCCAACTGCGTAAGATTTGTTTATGGCCACCGAATGGGGAAAACCAAGCTTCACAGAAGCACCAATAATGAGAAGACCAATGGCGGCTAGTTTGTTGTACGCGTTCCTCTGCCACCTCTCAAATGATGTAAAGGGGAAGAGTTACCGGAACACAGGCAAAAATAGGCACTCGTCGGAAGATAATTTCATCGTGCAGTGGACATTGGTCACTTTCTTTTTTAGCGGGTTGGAAGCCCGAGACCAACTTGTTTTCAACAGGCGAATGGAAAGTGTCGCGAAAAATGATTCCTCACTGATGACTGTTTACCCAAGTCTCTTGCCGATGTCTAGAGCAAGGTCCTCTGAACAGAGGCACTTCTACCCAACATTCATATGATCACCCAGTAGGATAGATATATTTGATGTGAGGAGAGGGATGACCTCATTCTTCCCTTGCATTATGGCATCGATGACAAACATCGTGATGTGTGAATCTTTGATACCAAAATATCGATAAAATTGACATAAGTTCATTCAAATCGGTCTTTATAATCATATGAACTATCGAGCTGCATCTTCTGACATTAACGCTGAAGTAAGTGTGTGATAACATGAATACAACCCTTTCTGATTTGTTAGTCTTCAAAGTAAACAATCATTCCTGTGCTGTACCGCGACCGTGCCCGAAAACGCAGCCTCTATTCAGAAGCAAATCATGCTGAGTTCAATTTTAATTTGGAGCTACATGAGTTCGCCTTCAAAAAATACAGTTATTGGCATGCTCCCTGTGTGTCACTCATCTTCTACTTTCGTCTCTATTCCCATCTATCTGACTATGCTGCGAAGCTTACCGAATCCTCAGCTGTCGTCTCCGATTATCGATTTCCCACACTCTTCTATATTGACTCGCGTGTTGTCTAGCTGCTCGTTTTATGGCCTCATGTTTCTTATCCACAGTGTAATGTGAGCAAATATTTGATCGAAATCCAACGAGCTATGATAATACTGTCAAAACATTGTTCTTGGTGTTTCTTGGGAAGCGTGAACCGCTGCAGTGTGAACCATTGACCTCTTTAGATGAGTGGCGCTTAACCTAACTGACGTTAGATGCTAACCTGTTCTGTCATGGTTGGTTGACTATTTCACAAATTATGATATGTTATACACAGTAAACCTACAAGTGTCAGCAGAAAACAGTCGCAAACAAATCATTTTTAATGGCTCCTTTTTAGTGGCTCGTTGACCCCTCTCCCGGATTACGAATCGCATCAAATCTCGTGCTACAAGCTCAGTCTATAAATTAATCCGACCACGCAATAAGCAGATATAGGCAGTAAAATCCCGTTTATTAGTAAGGGCAAATATCGTTCTGAACAGAAAATAGCATGTGCCTTGCTCTGTGTTCTTCGTTTCCAAGGCCTCAAAACACACGTACTTAAAACACCGCTTTTGCCACGATACACATGCACTTGCACACTTTACACGTATATATAGTGCGCGAGCGCATCTGTTCGATCAGTGTGCAACATACAGGAAATCCAATTCCTGATTGTGCTGTTTCTGTTCGTCCATAGCCTATTTTTCCCAAATGAATCGCCTGATCTTCCCCCACTTGCCCGGTTAGCTATTTGCATCTAGTGTTCTTCCACAACACTAGCATAACACAACATTTGGCAAAACCTTTGGTTGTTTTGTCCGAGGCAAACCTTACATAAATTACTCCACTGCTTCTACTCTGCGTTCGCACTGTGCACTTGCCTTGTTGCAACAAGGTTATCTTTTTTTCGCATTTTTGTTTATCGGACAATGCATCGTAGTCTCAGGTTCCTTATGGATTTTCATCGTTTGTTATTGTATTTTCTACGAGAACATTCCTCCTTACCACAAGTAGTTTGAATTAGTTTACCGAATCCCATTAATCAACAGATATGTTCGTACCAAACTCACTTCGATGTGTCATGTTGTTATTTTGCCGTAAGATTTGATTGTCGAGGTTATGAATGCTGTTGATTGTGAGTTTTTCCCACATTATCCTCTCGCTTCTCAGAACGAGCCTACGTGAATTCTGTCCCGAAACCCTACGTTTAGTGTACAGAATAAACTGTCTCTGGACTTCATTCTGGTCTGGTTGAGATGTATTTTCAAATTACTTCTTCCCATCCATTCAAACTGAATGCTTCCGTCGTTACTAAACTCGTTTTACTTGTGTTACTTATGTGTTCTGTTGTTTCCAGACGCAAGAAATCTTTTTCCAGTGGTCTGGACAGTCAATCGAGTACACCTGCTGTTAGTCCATTGGGGTCCCCACTCTCTTTACAGCGAGTACACTGTCGCACTGTGAGTTGTGAGAGCACGGGCACCATTCTTTCCTCGCCTAACTCACTTGCCATCCCTTCACCGCATCGTGCCCAGGCGCCGACGATTTCACGACATCCACCCAACACTATCCCAACCCCAGTAGCAGCCGTATGTTCAGACAACGGGGTGCAAAACACTGCCGTTTCAGTTCATACGGCAGGCAAAACACTTCACTCTGTTCCTTCCGAAGCTGTAGGTATTCCCGTCGTCAGTACTGCAGTCGGTCACCCACAACACGGTTTGAATTTTTATTGTTTCGGTAGCATTCCACCTTTGGGACCAGGAGCACAACACCTGATGCACCCTCCGATGGGACCCTTGCCGGTACCAACCACAATGGCGACCCCCTTCGTGCCAGCACTACATCTCCTTCCACATTTGCATCCGAATCCTTTTACTGGAGGACCATATCTTATCCCGACCATGCCCCCGTTCCCAACTCCATTGCCACCCATGCCAGCACAGTCTCTTACGCAGCAGCAACAGCAAAACCCAAGTTCAGCATGCATCCCACCTCCAGGCAACACTCTTAAGTCACCAACACACTCAAAACCAACACAGTCTATGATAGAACAAACCTCACCTCTGGCCACTACTCCAGTGAACGCAGAATCAGATGGCCATTCCTCTGTAGCGTCGACGATAAACTGCGCGGAATCTGCATCACCAACTTCCACTGAGGAACTTATTACGGTGGATGGACAAACTAGGGTATGTTTATCACTTTCCATTAATAACAAGAGGAATTGTTTACTTAAGCAAGAACTACAGTTTCCCTAAGTCACTTTCCGTTGTTCGTTTAAAACGCTTCTTGTTTTCTTATTTACCCAGTGATTCCGTGTTTTCCTCTTCGAATGAATTTTCTTCTGATTACTACACGGACAACTGCTAGACAGACTGGGCTCATTAAATTGACCAATCATTAAGCTGATTTCCTTAGTAAAATCGGAATCTCTGGAGAATAGGGGATTGGTCGGCGGCATAAGCAACCTGTCATTTATTCACTCACGATGGATAGCGAACAACCTACTCGGTTGCTTCTGTGTACTGGTTTAAATATATATAGAGCCAGTTGGACCTCAGACAAAAAAGAACGGTGTCTATCTGGAGTATTGATCGAAGATCGGCTGAATGACATTCACTTCGCCACTGCGAACAATTGTATTTGACGTCATCCTAATATGTAATACAGCTGACAATCAGTGGACATAGTGAAACATTTTGTCAGTATTATTACTACCATTATTGCTGTAATGTCATAAGCGCTATCAGGATCACCCATTTCTCATTGTATCTGCTTCTGCCTAACATAGGATTTGATGTTTAACCATGAAACGTTCATTTAAGCTGTCGATCTACTCCACAGTCACGCTGCACCTGAAATGCTCGACGGTCACGGATTCAAACATTAGTGCTTTTGTCGTGACTGTAGCGCTCCCGAGCGTGAGTAGCATCGATTGACGAGGCTGCAGCTGACCGAAAGTATAGCACGACAATACCCTGCAGTAATACCAGGATAACCGCTGGAGATGTCAAAAGCAAATTCTTTCCATAGATGATTTCGGCTTCTACTTTTTTCAGTCTGTGTTGACCAGAGGATCTTCCGCAAACTCCACATTGCCAACTAAAACGCGCGTGTTCGAATTCTGTAAAGAACCAGACAAAACTTTTCACGAGAAACGTTCCCTTATTTTCCATCCAAACAGTAGTCATATCCAGAAATTACGTTGGGGTTTTTATTGTTTGTGCAAGGTTCTCTGACTCACACAAGTGCACTTGAAGAATAGAATTAAGTAGACAAGTCAACTTTCCTAGAATCACAAATGGGATTAAGTTATTCTCAGTGATGACAGTGTGTTCTGCACGACCCAAGGGGTTGGGTTGGTCACTGGCGACGCATAGAGAGAGGGAAGAGTGGATTCAAAGTAGCTGATTTCACAACGGGAGGTGGTTTGGGATTCCACTTTTTTCGATGAGCAAACCCACTTGAATTAAATCTGGCACATTCCTAACTAGGGACGCATGGTCCTTAACTCTTTATTTATTTATTAGAAAGAATTCGAAAATTCTTGTATATGAGTGTTACAAAGTCTTTAGGAGATTTTTGATTTCGAAATATTTGTTAGACGCCAAGAATGACTAACTATAGCCATGTCAGATGCTTCTTAAAGTACGTCAATGAAATTTCAATTGCATTCTGGTGTTCCTCCGAAGCTTTTGTGAAGGTTGATAAGATTTTCCGTCTCGGAATGCTCCAGATATTCAATATTGTTGCGCATTCATGATTCACAGCCAGTAGTATAACACGGTAAATTGGTCTGGTGGTGTATTCTTATGCATCAAACAAAACAGTGATGACTACCGGGAACTCCGAAATTACGGAATCATCCTGCATTACTTCATCGTTCTCCAGTTGGTCTGCCAGCAGTGAAGTGTTCCAACAAATGTTATCGTGTTTACTGTAGGATAGACTGTCGGTTAAGTCGAGTTAAAGCGTCTTGCCAGAAGCAGTCTATTCACGTGGTGGATTTAGGTGCTCCTGATAATAAAATTTTGAGATGGTAGTCAACCAAAAAACTGGATCAGTGGCATTTGGCATCTATATTGTGTTTTTTGCTCTTAGGAAATGAACAAGAGATCCGCAAACCATAGTGCTTCTACCCCTGTTCCAGATAGTTGCTTAAATTAAAGATAACTTTTTGTCCGCGGAACCATTTTCACGATAAATAGGAGTATCAGTGTACCACGATTATTGTTTTCACAATATTTGGTTGTCGGATCTAAACACGGTCTCAGATCTATAGAAACATGTAGGGTAAAATACCAAAGTGACAGTGGAAAGCTTCTCTTTGATACCTTTGATGGACTGTAGACAGGAATTTACGTACATGTACAGCGCTGAGGTGATACTTGTGCACAGTTTAAGAAGTGTTCCAGAACACCTTATTCCAGTCCTTCGTTTTCTAAACAGACTAACAGAATGCCGCACTCTGACAGTACTCAGCATGCTTTTTTGAATTTTCATGCATACCCAATCAAAAGTGGCCGCAGTCCATTGAGACTTGCTTTCAATTACGAATGTTTTGCATTGAGCGAGGCAGTAGAAACTTAACTACCTTAACAGCATTGAGTGCATCATGCCTTCTTATTTCGATTAATTATAAGCCCACTGAACGAGACTGCTACCATCATTTGTGACTTTTGGAATCCATTCAATTGAAAATTTTTTTTGCCATAATTGGACAAATTAAACGAACAAAATAAAGCTGAAGGTATACTTATGAATATTAACTGTTCAGCGCCTTACTCTTGATTGAACTCCTGAGGAGGGGTCAAGTTTGGAAATATCTCGGACAGATACTGTTCTGTTGTAATTGTTGAGCTACTGGTAACATAACCACCAACATGGTTGGCATTTCTGAGTGAGGAAGTTCAGTCTGTGCGATGCAAGGAATACACAGCCATCGATAGAATTTCGATCATGGGGTCTTGCAGCGGATTTACTGTGGCAAGGTCTGGAGTGCCATGTAACTACACACGTTTGCTTTAGTGCTATTATGTTTCACTTTTTCACTGCTGAGGCATTAAAGTTAAGGTTTTTCAATTAGCATCAACCGCTGTAAATGACAGCATCATTTTTTTGTTTCCCTCTTCGCTGTAGTTGGATGCTTCCACCCCTCGACCAATCGACAGTCCGGGCCCTTCGGACAGGCAACCGAACGAAGGAAGGACCAAAACCTACTCACCAGTTTCCCAAGTATCTGGAGACGGTGGTTGTAGTGCTTTACGTATGGTTTCACCAAACACTGCACCCTCTTCACCTGTTGACCTGATATCGAGCCGTCCGAAGCGATCCTCTATTCCAAGTTCCCCGCCTGCTTACGTGAATCGACACAACAGAGATGCGTACCCGGTACAGCCAATCAACTTATCACACAGCAAGCAAGCTCATCTCGCCTCAAGCACCACAAACGATAAGACCCGTGCGAACGGTTCCGCCCTCTGCAGCCCTACACCATCTGTACGAAGTATCAAGTCACCCCTGCTTTACTCCTCCTCATCCTCTACTTCACCGAGTGCAGACAAACGAAAAACTATCCACTGCGAGAGTCCTAGAACAAATGTTGATTCACGATCCACCGCCAGCCCATCTCTCTCTTCTCCTAACAGCCGTACTCGGCACGTAGTCACATCTACCCCGAGTTCCACACCGTCCGCAACAACGCCAACCAGTCCAAACGCGTCCAACCAACCATGGAGAGCAAAACTGACAAATCTAAAGATGTCTTTCTTGGGCTCACCACGCTTCCACCGAAAGAAATCTGGTCTGGTCGAAGAGACGCCTCCAAGTAGCCCAAAAGTTTCCGGTTTCGTTCACAACAGACAAACCAACCCAGGCCGCTCAGTTCCATCAGAACCCTCTCCACTGTAAGTTCAAAGTATGCTTACAGAAAGTCGTTCGGTTTGCAAATAACTTTCTGGCCACTGTGTGCAAGTTTTTCTAATGAAGTTGGTGTCCACCCGATGAGATAGAGTGCTCTGGGCAGGAAGTTATTTACTCGTATTTGCTCTGAACATGGTTCGAAACCCTACATGACATGATACATAGCGGATTCCAGTTGTAAGTGTAAACGTAGTTTACTATGTACCATTGCGTCCCAGCCGCAATGGTAGGCCAACTTTTGTCGAACGTTATGTGTCGGACCCATTCTATGTGACCTTCACAAAGGATTCTGGGTCTCAACGGATGGCATCTCACTCTAATGAGTCAACAGATGTCTATTTCTATGTTCCAAAGTCGTGTGTACGCATTCACTGATCTTCCTCTGTAGGAAAACTTGGCTCCTCACTGAGTCCTCACTTTTTGCACTATTGCTAACGCGTTCTTAAGTCATTATTGTTTACTAGCCAGCCTCTAGCATACATGGCAGTGCTCGCTAAAATGTAAATATTCCACGACAAACGACTATAGCCTGGTTGAAAGTGATATTGAAAAGCCAATGGAATAATATGAAGATAGATTAGTAATGCTTTCTGGATTCAATGTTATGCAGCCACTTAGACCAGGTTTTGTGCGTTTTACAAGCCAACGTTCAGCACTGTTATTCATAATTTTGCATATGTAGATTTTACCTTATTTTTCCATAGATTGTTGAATTCGTGGTCTTTCTTTAGGGGTCGAAACCCGCCTCGGGGACAAGATTTGGGAGATTATAGAGTAATGAGGATGAACTCTTCCAAAATATGAAATCCTTCATAGATCTAGCGGGTAATGCTTGGTTTGCCGCTTATTGGCGACTGGCCCTACTTCTGATGGAAGGGTCCCTATTTCAGGGGATAGCCACATGTACGCTGAATAATGAGTTGTGTACTGGAAATTGTCACTCCAAAATACAAAGTTGATTATGAATTATGAGCTGAATGCCATAACAGTCACATTCAACTGTAAGGAATAGCGGAAGTAATAAGGATTCAGTACCATCACCATGCGCACAGATCAACGACGCACTTATTCCGTATAAATATTGAATCCGCGATAGGCAAATGCACTGAGATTAGAGCAACCCTTTTTGAACCTTCCTTTTTTTCGTTACGTCAATCTAAACCCAACCATTTTTCAATCCAGGAAATGTCCAGCGTTTTTTGCAAAAGTAACCTTCTCACTAAGAATAATATTCTACGTACCTCATGAATTAAATGATGCCGCGCAGTATACAACGACGTACGCCGTGAAGCGTGCGGCACAAACTTGGTCACAGGTTGATAGTTAGCCTCTGAAAGTGTTTCAACCCCTAGAGGCACTTGTGAGAAACATACAAAAATCACATCAAGCAATACAATAAATACACATTGGTAGGAGCACATTGCAGTGCTTTTTCCAGTCACTAGAGTTCAGCTAAATGTTCGTCTATCGTTTCACGCATGACGCGTACAATGCAGGATCTTATGCTGTATGTGAGAAATTACTAGGGTAGGTCCGCGTTGGAAGGTCAATCCGCTTGGTTTGAAAGAGGAATACTGGCCATCATCCATAAGATTGGTTTGATTCTCGATGAAACCAAATCACCGATTTTCGTTTATGGTATCCAGTGAACAATAGATGCCTGTAGATTTCTCTGAAAATCAGCTAGGCAGACATAGGACACTCCATCATTTCTACATTGACTATAGAACCCGGGTGTTTCTTTACATCACATGATCTGCTAGGTCATTATATTCTCCTGGGCATTTTCAATAGGACACTCTCCTCCGGGTCTCAGGCATTTTATTACAGGGTGTACATTGATGGACACAACTTATTCCTTTACTGATTTCTTCCGATAGTCCTAGACATTGCCCAGTGGGTTGTATTCTTTACATGCTTTCGCAAACGACTCTATACATGCTGCGTAGTATAATATTCAGTTGATTGTTGCCACAGCTGTTCGCTCCATGTTTTACTCCTTATCTCTTCGCCAACAGATTAACGCATAAGTCATGGTTTGACGGATTCTTAAGTGCAGCATCAGGTCACGTGATTTTCAAAGGTAGCCAGCACGCTTTCAATGCCGCAGCAGCTGCAGAAGATGCGGCTGCATTGGCAATTTCAACTAATGCGAAATCGAAAGAGATCAATTCTGATGAGTCCTCTCTGTCAAAGGTCAACAATTCACCCGACCTTAGCACCACTCCTCCATTGGATAATCTAACTGAAGAAACATGCTTCACAGCAGATTCGCCAACCTCGTCAGTGGCAACGAATGACGAAGTCAACGCAACAAGCAATAACTCCCAATCAAGTCGTATCCGTACTAACCGCCAGGTAACGATCCACGAGCCCCCTGTAAGTACGGAGCTGAAGGTCGGAACTTCAAAGACGCCAGACACTGCTGGCTTGTCAAACAAGTCATCAAATGAACGGAGGTCAGGGAAGGCTGCAACTACTACGAGCAATGCAAGCACTGTGCCAGAGGAAACGAACCATGTTGTTATGATTAAAGGACGTGCACTTAATCGGCTAAAAGCCGAATTAGTTCAGGTAGGTTTGCTGGACACTGCTTATGTGTTTGATTCCTCTAAAACCACGGACGGTGTGATAAGTAGCAGTATTGTAGGACGTCCAAAAGCCAGCTCTTTGATTCGATCAGCGGTGATGTTAATCATCTGGTCAAAATTAAACCACTACATTATTCACCTAAACAGTAGAATTGATGTTGACGTTTCTCCCATTTTTTGAAACCGCAAATCAATGCTTTTTGCTGCCGATTGCTGTGGGTCGGTGTTCCAAGAGTACTATTAGCTGAGCGCGAAAAAATGTTAACTATAGTAATGTCCCTGGTAATCACGCTCTAGCGGAGCTGTTCGAAAGCCATGAAAGAGTTGTTTCAACGCAAAGATAGCTGGTACAGTAAGAGACTATGTAATATTGTAACACTTACCTCCATCTAGACAATGAACAGGTGTGACTGGTCAGTGTTAATGGGATATGCGGTTGCATTTGCCTGAAGTTTGTGGTCACTTTTGCTCATGGTTGGGTGGTCGCACAAACCACATAGATGAAAAATGGTTTTTCACATAAAATCACAAATTCGGGAACAGTATAGTGGGGAGTCATTGATTATCACGCACGTTGCATCGATCTTACCAATCCGACATTTATTTGATCTAGTCTCAACTTTGTCAGGAAGGTTAAACGGGAACCCGAAGAACACAGGGCCAAACTAAACCAACATCACATGTCTGCCATGTGATCAGCAATTTGAATGAGGTAACGATTTTTCATCACATATGGCCCAAGAGATTAAAACGATAGCGCTGGAGGATACCGGAAGTCCACTGACGCTTTTATACCATGCACAATGATAGAGTAAAGACGGACGATGCATCGTCGTTCAGCTGGTGCTCCCTTTCGGTGCCTGTCGTACCAAGTGTAAGAGCTAGGTAATCGCTGGCTCCTTGTAGGCATATGATGTACGTCCTGAATATCACTGGTCAGTGTTGTGGGACTTTGACCTACTCTCCGTTTGCGGTATGGAAGTCGGGTATGTGGTTGATTAGACAACCACTCGCTATCATCACAAATTGCCTTGGATTCTTCTGTTTACATTCCCGTCTTTTATCTATTCAACATCAATATCTATGTTTCCCGCAGTGTCCAGTGAAAGACACTTGTGCTACTGCCTGTCATGTGCAGTATCCACCGATAACTTCGGTTGTTGCACGTAAATCTGGAAACAGATTCCACCCGAGTTGGAATGCTGATAGCCGTGAGCAAGCGTTCTTTGGGAGTAGGTTTAATTAAGAGGGCTTTTGATGGTGTACGGAAGGTTTCGGTGATGAAGTCACGTTCAGGCTTTCTTCAACTCGTGTTACTTAGGGTAGATTGAGGTTACTTGTGTTCCTCAACTTCACTGTTGCAACCTAATTACAATTACCCTAAAAGTGAATGATCTGGAGTGCGTGCTTTCTAAGCTGCTTTCCAACAGTAACGCTTTTGCGAGCTAAACTCATTGGCTTATGTGGCGAATTCCATGGAACCTTTAAAAATGAGTAATTACATCAGCTAGTCCAATATGTACTAGTCTAGAGAGTGTTCGACGTGGAAGTAAAGCAATACACGCATCCAACTCGTGTCTCAATCATTTTAGTCATATCACACCACTTAGTCTCAGTTTTGTTTTTGGCAAAGTATAAACGAAGGAACGCTTCTTGAGAATTACTGATTAAGGGATCACATCTGACTGACTGTTGGATTCAGCCGGCCGTATTTCTTCGATGTGGGCCGCAAAGGTCGTTTTATTTTCAAATTGTGGGGGGCTGGTGATCAATATTTAGGAGACGTCATTCGGAGATCTGCGCCGCCATATCAGACTGGAATTTCTTTCTGAACCTGTCTGCTGTCGGATACCCGAAAAGTGGAGTTACATACCTCATTAACATAAGTAGACCTACACCTGTTCACAAAAATAGCATTCCGTGAAATATTGAGCAACTGTATTTAGAGCACACAACGCAATGTCTAAATTTTGCACAGCCCAATGCCTATTCATTTAATCTAACAGCCTAATTTGTTGCTGGAGAGAGTTTGTGGTAAACGTACAACTTGCTTCCTCTCCCAATCTCACTTTTATTTGCTATTTTCCACTCACTTCACCACCTCAGACAGTCCAGTCTTCTGCGGGTGGTGTGGCACTTTTGTATCGTGCCAACCAATGTCCATCCATCCCAGTACGTATTCACACAACTAGCCCGTTCTTACCTGGCGTGCGAACCTGTCAATCAGAGAACAGGGGTTCATAATAGCAACAGTAAATTGGATGAAAAACCAGTTAAATGGTTCGTTCCTTTGACCACGTGACCGATCGATGTCTTTGTTAGACAGCCTGTGAATACGCTTCAGGAAATGTGGTGCACGTTAGATTTTGTTTTTCGGTTAACTCCCAGGAGAAATTCAGTTATAGGTGTGCACTACCGGTGGCTTTTCTTACTACCCGAACGCATTTTTAAGGGATATACAGTAAGCTTATGGCGGCTTGTCACCCAGGCTGCTCCAGATTAGCATTATCGTCACAAATAGGAAGAAAAAGTTATGAACTAGTGTTTCAACTCAATGAAGCCCCTGGAAGCTTACTTAGAAAACCCTCGGTTGAAAAGAGCAATGTATTGTGAAAGAGATCTTTGATAGAATTTCGTGAGCACATGCATTGACCCAAACCTCGAAACATAATTAATTTTGGATAGATTTCAACACCACGAATAACGTGGACCTCGATTAGTAGCCACGCCTTCCAACATCTCTACTTAATTTCACGGAAGGTCGAAGTGCCTGGATTATACCAAAATAACTCGAAAATTTCAAATCCTGTTCCGTCACCCCCAATAACCAACCCACTTTTGCGTAGCATCGTTTATAAGAGAGCATCAAACACACCACTTGCACGCACAAAGGATGATCCGGCACGTGACTGAGTTCCCAAAAGTTGCGTTGCTTATGGACTTGTGCAACATAGTATACTTCCCAATGATAGCTTGAAGCGTTTCCAGTATTCACACCCAGGAATGCAGTAGCAATTGGCCTTGGACCAAGCAGCAGAGAGAACAGTTGATCACTGGGAGTGTGTTTGAATTTTGCCTTCCTTCAGTCGGCCTTTTGCATTGTGTTGCTCGAATCCCGTCGAAACCACCAAACCCACACAACGTTTTCCTAGTCATCGACAAAAGTAAGAATCTCCATTGTCATATGGGTATTCTGGTTGCTCGAGTTGAGCAACACGTAGTAACAACCTTAATGTTATTGTAGTGCTATAGTTGAAATGACTTAGCTGTCATTCCTAATCCCGGACTCACCGGTCAAGAGACTGTTATTTGTGCATTCTTGAAACGCCCGTTTCAAACCATTTGTTCTGTCCACAGCCAGCCTGCCAGATATGACCCGAGATAACAATCCGCAAGAAGTTGAGGACGCTCGAGAAAACTTGTGTAGGACTTTTTTTCAGTTTTTTCCATCTGTCCTAACTTCAGCCCCATAAAAACAGCGATGCTACATTGCCTCGCCTTCACATAGTAGGAAGTTTTGAGCGAAAGGCTGGTTTAAAACAATTTGTGCATTACATGGGGTTGTTCGGTGGTGAATTACTCTCATTTTGCGTGACAACCACAGGTGTCTATAGTTCAGATTTCCCATTTCCTCGGTGCTCCACAGCTGGGACATTACAGTACCTAGTGAACTGTACATTTGTTTGTCCGGAAAACGGGACAGGATTGGGAATACAAAAGGATCGGTTGCATGCTTCGCTTGTGCGTGTGTGCATGTGCATACATCTGAAGACTGCTTGTGCTTCTCGTATCAAAACCTCTACCCCCTATGTACCGAACTAAACATCTCGTGCTGAGGAAGGCCTGCAATACCTGCACAAATCCGTGTAATTCTGTTCCTATGGGAGATTTGCATCAACCTCAAATGCACTGGTTTTACTGGCATCGAATCATATCTTGGTTCCACGAAGTACAGCCGGCTAAACTTGGTTTGGTGTAAATTACGGAACAACCCAATGGGCCTGTACTATCCGGACGTTATCGCAAGTGCAAGCCAACTAGATCCCTTCGATGATCGACTTATTTAATGACATCACACCTACATCAGTGCAAGAAGGCACTCAATAGGTTGTCATACTACAGAACTTCATGTGCTAAAATTTGTGTATTGAAAAGAATTATTGACAGACATTGTTCTTTATCGGTCGAATCTATCCTTGTATGAGGCAGGTTACAATCGCAGTAAGGCAGTACATACCCAGATCGAAAAAGCAGTGCAGTCACTCGATTACAATTTAACCCCTGAGCGATGTTCAAAACCTGTCACTTTTTAATATTTGGGGTCGATTTCGAGCCCATAAAAATGCTCCAATATTCCTTTTCTTTTACGGCACCTCAGCATAAGTTGTGACTTTGTGAATCAGTTCACTTATCTTTTAAATCGATTACTCGTCATTGAGTAAAACTGGCTCACACGCTCCCACCTCACCCCGAATAGATAAGAGAGGACAGTTTTGGATGTGATATTGGTTGATTAGTCATTAGAATCTTCAGACTTCTGACGAAATCCAAGAATGTCAAGGTTAACTGAAAGTAGACAGGTAGTCATTATTTCAACGTCTATATGAAAGATGGTTAGCCACGTATTGATCGTATTCTGTATTCTAAAACCCCGCAGTTAACACCTAGTTCAGATCTACCTGAGTGTAAATTATTGTATGAGGTAAGTTTCAAGAACATAATTTATTTCTCAAGTGCATCTGATTGGCACAAGCACAACAGTATGTGATAATGCGATAGTGTGATTTTTAAGAGAATCTTCTGCAGTTAGAGCACATAACTGTTGGGTTCAAGTTTTTTTTCCAGAAGGAGCTTCCTGGCGTTTCCTTCGCTTACCCTATTGTTTCAGTTCCTAACACAGTGTTTATCCACTGCTCCTGCCCATGAATACTGATTTTTGCCCACTGGATTTAGGTTTGAGTCTGTTTTGTGATAAGTCATGTATTGCAGACTGTAGGCTTATTTTTATGTGCTATCCGACAATATTTAATATTATTTAATTATTATTTAAATATTATTTATTTATTATTTATTTATTATTTATTGTTACTATTGTTATTTATTATTTATTATTCAATGGCTGATGAAGCATTCATTTTTTGTGGCATGACAACATCAGCAGACGTGGGTCCCTGACATACTGGATAAGTCATTACACATGATCTGATCGTCCGAAGCAATCGCGTCATCGGAACTGACTAGGCCCAGCTTACTCAAAAAGGCCACTTAAGCTATCAGAATAACTGTATTTAAATATTTTCTCTCTCCTAGAGCAACATTCCAAATTAGGGAAGTTCACAGGCTTACCTTTCCATAAAAAATGACATCGTAAATAAACCTAAGTAGATGCAGATGTCAGGAGTTTATTTACACTAGTAGACACTTTCGTAGTGCTGGGAACAACGGAAATCTGATGGTTTTAATCTGTTTTGAAAAATTGGGAAGAAATTTCTTGACGTCGGTATTGTGAAAGCTCAATTGCCTCAATGCAGGTTTTTCGCAGTTTTGCTTATGGTATATGTTGATATTAGCCTGTCGGTAGGTAGATACTTTACACACTACCTCGGTTACTCCCAATTTATTTTTTTCCGGTCAGTGGGCATACTCCCTTTAAGTTTCGACTTGCATCGCATATACACAATCCAATGTACCAGCATTAGTTCCGCATCTGATATTTCTCAATTTGTTGATCGGGAGGAAAAATTTGTCATTTAGTGCTTGTCCGGGAATAATATATGGTCATTTGGACGACGAATTTCTCAGTCATACACAAACTCAAACACCCTTTAATGCACAAAACCTTGTGCTGGAAATGTCCACATCTTTATGAGCAATGGTTGTTCTAACTCAACTTGAGGCGCCGTGCGAAAACAACTCTCCTCGACATATATTTGTATCAGTTGTTAATGCAAGTCGGAAACTCTGTACCTCGACATAATTTGTACCAGTTGTTAATGCAAGTCGGAAACTCTGTACCGCATTTCAGTCACAGCATGCTCCAAAACTGATCGAAAATAACCCAAGCATTAGTCGGGTGCGACCGATCACCTACAGTCATAAGGCAGTTGATCGTACACATCCAGCCACGCATCGGATTCTGCTATCAAACTATGCACACCAACCTGCAGTTTGTTCAACCTTTCTGCATCGAATGTCGTGTGATAGTTCTGTTGCTGCCGCGGTCAGCAGAATAGACAACAGCATTGATAGACGTGCCTTCGAAGACGAATCAACTGATTGACCATCGATCGGCACAAGGTAGGCCCGAGATCAGACATGCCTCATCGATGGGCCACCGGGTCGATCCAGAATTCTGGCGTCTAAACCTCAATCCAGGATTGTCATGGTTTACTAGGGTCCTACTGAGTAATCTCAAAGGACTAATCCTATACGTACCAAAGTCCTTGAGATGAGCCATCAGCTTGCATTGAAGGTTAAATGCACTTTTTCACTAATTGATTCCATCCACTATTTCTGTTTCTTTGTATACTGTAAGTATCCTGATGTTGGTACGTGGCTGGTGAGATGAAAGATGTTAACATCCCGAGAAGCTTGAGGTGTTGTTTAGATTACTATTGATCTACTACCAAAATCACCCAGATGAACGAACATTTTATAATTCATTCACAGGTCTTTCTTGCCACGCCTGGGGTGGTGCATACCGTCATTTCGCCGACGAGTTTCCGCGCTGAATATCGTCGCACTGGTAGTGGATCTACCCTGTTAGCTCGGCCTGTAAAACTTCAGGTGGATATGGTACGTGCAACCGGAGGCATTAGTACAGGGAGCACCTCCGGTAAATCTTTGTGTTCGGTTCCATCAGAACGTGAAGTTTATGCGGTCAACTTCCAACTCTTGTCAGGTTAGTCGCTTGTTTCTTTATGCGCCTAAGTACGGAGTTGAATGTAAAATTTAGTAAACTGAATCTGATCTGAATTTTGTCACCACTTCTTTAGGTCCGACGCGGCGATTCAAACGATTGTGTGATCAGCTTCAAACAGCGCTTCTAGCCGGTCCTTCGCAGCCTAATTTTTCTGCGGCTTCAGCCGTTAGCAACGGATGTGGCAGCAACAAATCCCTCATGTCTGACCATTCTCATACTCACCCACCCGCATCCGGCCGATGTGTGTCCCTAGCGGAACGAGAGGATGGACTGGTAAACTCACATCCACGCAGCGAAATAATTCGGAACATCCAAGCTGTAAGTTTGTCTGGCGTTGTTACTGAACAACTACAGAGGTCTAGAACCGTCTGGCGAATGTAGCCTTGTTATGTATTGGCAGATTCAGTCATTGTCTCTAAGATAGCACTGTGTAATTTACTCTTCTGGTTTCGGCATTCAAATTGATTGACATTCGGCATTCATTGAGTTATTCCGAAATTTTGAGCTCCTGCGTTAGGTCCAGCCAGACTATAAACAATTTCCAATAAAACAAGTCCACCCTACGGATTTCTGTCGTCCTGTTATAAATCTGGCATCAGCCGCATCCCATGTAGAGCTTGGTAGCCAAAAATGCACATAAGCCACTCATCATCGTTGAGCCCATTGAATTGATCGGAACGTTGCCAGGACACTTTCAGTGTATTTGACGAACCCAGGTGAGGCTTGCTTCGACTCTGTCAAGCCCAACATCCTACAGCTCTTATTTGTGAACTTTGAAGCATATGACCCAGTTCCGCAGCATCTTTCGGTTCGCCATTGGAATCCAGGTTGCTGTGCTATTTCGCCACCTAGTTAGGCCTATGCGCTTGAGGTCTTGAGACACTGAACAGGAACCCTGCGTAGCAAAATATATCCATTGCTTTCCTGAGAATGAAAAGCAACTTTGCTGGTCCTACGAAAACTGGTTTGACGTAAGTCGCCTGTCTTGATATCCTGAATAGCATAATGATTTGACTGAGTTATAGGAGTTAAGAATACGTAATTGATCGTACCATCTTGACCGTATTATGGTTCTAGGTGAGTATTCATTCACTTGAAAATACTCAGCTCCTCATCGACCCTGCATGACCAATAAACTTATTGCACTCAATTTCCATCCACTATCCTCAACAGCAGTCCAAAGAGGAGAATCATGTAATACGACTTTCATAATCTGAGAGTTACGTCCCCAAAAGTTTTTTGCATTCACCGAGGCGAGTCCTTGATTGGAACATACATGCAATTGATTAGTATTTGACAAAATGACTCATCTCATGAAAACTCCAGATATATAGAGGTTGATTTCTAATGGCAGTAACTCCAGATTATAGAGGTTGGTTTCTAATGGCAGTTGAGCCTTACCATCTGAAGCTCCGGAAGTACAAATTCGATGGGCTATTCTGGTAAGTGGAAGCTTTTCCAGTATCACATATAAGCAGCAATGAAAACGAACCTGTTCAATCAGTAATACTTCAGTTGATAGCATGCATCTACTGTATAATAATCCTTGTGTTTTCCGCCCAGCCACACATAAATAGCAGTGATTCAGAAGACTCTCGCCAAATGATTCGTTTTTATCTTTTTTGGTCAGAAATCGCCCGAATCCTCAGGATGTTGGAAATCGGATGAGCCAGATTCGAGCAACAGTGAGACTGCAAACCATTCCCAACCGCCTTCCTCGCCAAAGCAGTTCACACTCCAAACAAGTCCAGTTATCAGTATGGTAGGGAGACTGGAGAATAACGGGATCGGAAACAAAGCATTTGATAATTCTGGTGAATGCAAGGGTTGAACGCAAGGGTTCAACACGGTTCACTGTCGCTCAATTGTGCCATCCTGCTTGCTGCCATAATCAATCTGATGAGCACCCGATGTGGAATTATGCACATACATTTTCAGTTGTACATATGTAAAACAAAAGCATTCTCCACGGCGGTGTCGTGGAATGACGTTTCAGAGTTCTCTTTCAGCGAAGTCAGTGATGTCTGATATTAAATTAATTATTCATCTTTCGTATTCAAGCGAAGTCCAACCAACCGACCATTCAAAGGTTCGTGATCGAGAGTGCATCTCCGAAAACCCTCGCCCACATTGGCTCTTCTATTCTCAACCACCGTCCGCATTCTTCTTAATCAATGAAAATCCTTTTTCCCTACTCTGGCTTCTTCGATTTCCCGCACTCACAGTCAACTCTGAATTGACGGAACCTTTCGTTGATGATGTGTTCTCCGTCAACTGCGGCTGCTCATTTTCTAATTTTTCCCTTTCGACAACACTGATTGAGTTACTTTTTGTTTCCTTCTATCGATGGACTGCGAGTGCACAAAAGCAGCGATTTCCATTTCTACTGTCACCTTCACAAAGCTGTCTCATACACATAAAAACGACCAAAGCCTCGCCCTGTTTTTCTCGCTGAGTGATGCTGTCGCATTTACGACTTCAGAGTTCCTTTCTCTGTACAATACGTGCAAACATTCGGCTGACAACTTTGAATGATCCATCGACATTAACCTTGTACAAGTTGTTTGCTTAGGATGTACGCATTCGCTAGTTCTTAAAATTCAACTTTGCCAGATGTTTTGCTTCTGTTACTTGCCTTACGAGGCACAGATCCTGAACTGGTTGATATACGGTCATCGGAAACAAGATTTGTGCGGTAGAATAGCTGTTTGTGGTTAAAAACAATCTGTGGCATTAATCTTAGGTTCTCAAATCAATCCACACATGATAAATCATCAGCAGTGCAATCACCTCCTTAGAAAGCCCATGGCAAAAATTCTCCGTCATCGTCATCCTTGTGACAGATCCTCAACGTACAACCTTGGGCTTACCACAAGCGGAATTCTTCTATATATTTGTAATGTACTACTCATAAGGTTGCTGAAAATCCATCGACAACCCACGACCGGTTTCGCCCTTCTTGGGGTTCATCAGTTAGGCGCAGTCCCCGGGTTTCCGTCAACCTTAGGTTCTACTTGAAACCAAATTGCACAAAATTAGCGAATATACACTCATCTGCAAACTAAATTGGTTCTTTCGAGAGACTCACCTGGAACCCAGCCTCAGAACATCATAAACGAGAGATTCAGCTGGGTTCCAGGTGAGTCTCTCGAAAGAACCAAATTCGTTTGCAGATGAGTGTATATTCGGAATTCTTCTTAATTACTCTCCTCAAATCAGTGACATTAGTCTTGATTGCGTGCATATGGGTTAATTCAGACCACAAAGATATCCGTTCAGCTGCGTTCACGAAAACACTTTTTGTCGCCAGACCATTTTGAACTTGTGAGCTCATGTGAAGGGCATGATGGGTAGGAATAACACGGTTCACTTTGTATACTCGACTAAGGCGGCATACGAAGCATGCCAGGAGGTAATATAGAAAAGGGACCATGGAGACGTGGTTGTTGTTTGGATTCATTTGTGGAGGCAACACTTGACGTCAACTCCTCGGTCTACCGAAAGCAGATGCAAGTTTTTGAATAAACGATGGGTGCAAAATAATCTAGGGGTTTGCTGCTGTCCCACAACAAAATCGTGAACCAGTTACACATTCAATCATCAAACTGGCAATCAAAATTGAATTTCACCTTGGTATTGATCTTTTGTTGTAGCTTACAGCTGTTGCACCCATCAGGCGCATAGATGATCATGTTAGAGGGGGAAGTATACAGCAACGACAGCACTCAACTTTCGTGATAAGCTTCACACGAAACTTTTCTTTGGATATGGAGTAGTATTTTGAATACACTTTCTTCCGGAGTAAGATACACATTAATAGTAACAGTAGGTTTTGCCGGTAAACTGTACAACTTTAATCCATTTAGAGCAAACCTATTTCCATGAGTTAACAATAAGTGACTGAATAGGGAGGAAGTTTGGTGAAGCTAGCCTCTCATGCTTAAGGTTCACACATGGCAGCTTCTGAAATAAAATAGACCGGTGTATTCTGCCTGAAGTTAGTGAAGTTTTGCGCAGAAATATTTGATTTCATGCTTCTAAAGAAAGTTTTCTTAAATGGCACTACGCATAATGTCGGGGAAAAACCCCGACAGCTCAATAACAGCTCCAGTTTTCTCGGAATTCATCAGGTAGGTCTATTCCTCAGATTCACACCAAACAAGTCTCGCACTTCACACACTGTGTTGTGGTAAATACTCAGCTCTAAATTAAGATTGGAGGAAGACAGCTAAATTTCATCCGAATCTCTCGCCTGTTCAACCGAACTGTGTCATCAAAAGATCGCCTCTTGTTTCATGTCGTCGAAGATGCCGCTCTGAAGGTGAATGAAAACACCTTACGTCTCACTGTTGGTTTCTCCCTATATCGGGTTCACAAGGTAAGACTAGTTCCCGGGTTTGAATTGATTTTTTCCCGATATTATTTCGGTCAACCACCCTTCAAATTCAATCAATTTTGCATCAGCCACTGACTTGTAAGTTGAGTTGGTGTCAATGAGAAATTCTGCGAATGTTAGCCCAGTTGATTGGCAATGAATAGATTCGATGTTCACTAGTTGACGTGACCAAGGCTTGACGTACTTTCTAACAACAGACGTTTTGAACGACAAAGGATTGACCCTCATAAGTCTGTCAGTTTGTCATAAAATGCATTTTCTCATGGTCACTGGTTTTCTGCACAGCATGTTGTTGCGGGAACTGTACCTCAAGTAAACATCTGCAAATCTTTTACAAGCCAGCATATAAATTTGTCTCTAACCCAGAGGAGGACAAAACTGATTAGCTGGACAATTCCATTTGCGACAGAACAAATTTAAGACAAAAACATCTTCCCGAGAATTTTTGATGGGTTTCAGCAAACAGAAGCAAACTAGAAAACCGAATGCAGATTTAAAGCAATATTCGAAATGAATTGACTGCTGTCATATAACAACAACGCGACTGAATCGGTTTCGTTTGAAGACAGCTGGACAATAGGTTTTCATTTGGCCCATCCTAAAAGGTAGATGCCACCGCATATTGGTCTAGAGTAGACCGTCTTTAAAGAATACGTTGGACCGAGTTTTAGGGCCACTACTGAACATATTTGCACGCCTGAACGAAAGCCTTACTTTTTCAACCGGAAAGGGGCTTTTGAGGATCTCTCGTTTAAATGCCATAGTCGTTCTTTTTCTTGATAACATATACCACTCATAAATTGCTGAAAACTCTTGGATAACCAACATCTAATTAGACCCCGAGTGTCAAGAAAAGTTACCGCATTATCTTGAATACCGTATGAACTGAAACATGAGACGGATTTGCACAGCAAACTGGGTTGAAGAATACCGTCAAAACGAGAGATCCTGCTGGCATTCAGATGGGTCTGACATCAAATTCAAATCAGATTGTAACTTAGGGTGCATACTTAGCAAACATTGATTTTCTTCGTCTTACACTGAAGCTAGATGTAGTTCTTATGGTAGATTACCACTTGGTTATTTTCGCAGGTCGCCCAAATGCGCAAAATCTTCATCGGCTGTTAGTGGTCCCACATTTTTATTGATCCCCAAAAGATGCATTTCAGTTGACCTTCCTTTTGTAGATTTCTTAATTATGACCAAGATAATCAGGCACCCTGGTGTTTGGTGTTCACTTGTGTACACCCGGACGATATGAATGTCATTGAAAGCTCTGTGTTATCAAAGTAATTTAGTGACCAAAGTAACGGACCTGGAAATAGGTGGAATATATTTCAAGTCTAGCTTGGGCACGTGTGTGATTTGTTCCCGAAATTGGAGGATGTTTTTCACTTTGTTCCCAGCAGCATACTAAATTAAAGCTCCCCTCGTTTAGCTAAATAAACTCTTTTGCATGCCAATTTTGTTTTGAGGGGTGACTCATCTGTAACCCAGTTGAATATCTCCTTTATGATGTTCCCCGCTTATTTTTTCCGGCTAACGTCCAATATTGTGGTTTGGAGAATGTTAACAACAAAGAAAATTGATGTAGTTGAATGTTCAAAACAGCGCGAAGTATTGTATGATCCATCTTTTCACAAAATAACGCTAAATATGGTGGAGGATACAAAACGAGACAAGTAGTCTTATCCATCCTCCCTAAAATCCAATTTTATCATTACGACAAGGCAAAACTGGTAAAGAAGCATTCACTTACACAAATTTGTACGCGACAGTCACTCTGATAGACATGAACAACAACCACTTTCACCAAGGGGACATTAATACGATCACGCCTGAACGGAATAGAATTGGTCGCTCCTGAAAGAATGGAACAACGGTCGCATTCTGCGCAGAATCATTGAACAACTTGGGCGCTTCCACGCAGATGGAAGAGTACGGATTGTATCTTATGCGTTCGGCTACTGTGATGTTGATGTTTGGGCATCATCTATGGGGAGTGTGTAGCAGCTTCTGGGTTCTACTGACTACTGTCGGTATCACAATCTCTATGTTAATGAAGCAATCGCCAGAGCGCGGTCCTGCAATCTCTCCTTAGTAGAAATTTAAGCGTATCTACTGAGAATCCAAATATACCCTCCTGCACCAGTGGCATCTCCAGCAACATATATTTTTGAGATCATCTAGTACTTCACAACCTTTTCGCACGACCCTTATTCCACAACTGCCAATTCTATTCTCATTATTTTCTTCTTCCCCATTTGTGCACACAGTTTTGTTTAGTTTACATCTGTGGGTACTTATGCGTAATTATTCCTGCATCACTAGTCGCGCAGCAGATGATGAACGTCTCACCTAATACATTTGACTGCAACACCAGTAAGATCGTCTTTATAAATTTCGGAGGAAGGATTCGAATGTTGCACATACCACTTTGTTTTGCTCGAAATTCGGGACGTCGGGATGAACAATCTGGGATTAATGTGCCCTGCAGTCTCAGGAAATCGGCATTCACACGTGAAAAAAACAAGATGATTTGTTTTGTCGCCTATCGCTGGTTTCTCACCACTCGAATTCCCATCACTCAGAAGCTACATTTAATGGTCTCAAGAGCTGACTGAAATGGTCCACTGCCAGCCGGCGAAGAAAATCTCCAAGTCAATACCGCTTTGTGGATTCTTCGTGCAATATTAAAAGGTGAAACGATCACTGTTGAATAATAAAACAAGATTTCGAAGACTGCAAGATGCTGACAGTTCGCTTTTATCTCTTCAGCTGAAAACCTAACAGCTATCAATTTCATCTCACCAATAGGAATGAACAGCAATGAGATAGTGCAACGGAGACAGTCATATTGTGAAACAATCCTGTCCGGCTCCTAAATCCATGACAAGCTAGTGCCTTGTGCCAAGGTGTTTTATTCGCACAAGGTGAGTCGGTATTGATTGACTAACGTGACCCTTTTGGAAGCTAACAATTTCGAGTTAACAGTTAAACTCCGAAATCTGTCTTGAGTTTAGTTCTCTCTCCGGTTGGCATAATAGGTTTAGCGAGCGGTGAGGTAGGCTTTTGGGTCTCAGCTTGCAGGTCCTCGGTCGGTTGATTAGCCAACTAACGCGAATAACGAAGTAAACGTCCTCAGGTGAATTCGCATAGGCTCCTATTTCTTGTGTTTCACTGCAACTGCAGGTGAATTGGAAGACCACGTGTG